AGGAGAGACCCATCGTTGCATCTAGATGGCAGCTTGCTAGCTTTTAAGATCCCAGTCGCTACTCGCCAAAGTAGGAGGTGGAACAATGTTTTATAAAGTATATTATGCCAATTGAGCTTGATGTCCCCTGCGACTATGGTCAGGGCAGGGTTTCTTAAGGATATAAGTGGATATCTGAAAGAGGACTAGGAATTAACAAGGAGGTTTGAATGGTTAATGAAAAATAGAGAGCATTTCAGGCAGAGTCTGGTCCAAAGGCCCTGTGGCAGAAGGAAACATGGCTGATTCACAGAGGTGAAATATGGCTTGCTTAGAGAGCAAGGAGGGAGAAAATTGATACGAGCTAAAAAGTCTAAAAGGTGTCAAGGGCAATGCCAGGTAGGACCTTATAGGTCTTGTTAAGGACTTTGATTTTATCCTAAAAGTAGTGAGAAATTTCTTAAAGAGTTTTAAGTAAGAGGATGACATAATTGACTGGTGTTTTTAATTCCATTAACTGCAGTGTGGAGTTCCTGGGTGACACAAACTTGCTTGCTGGCAACAGAAAACTTGCAGGTTCAAGTCCACTCAGAGATAGATGTCTCAGAAGAAAGGCCTGGTGACTTACTTCTGAAAAATCAGCTATTGAAAACCCTAAGAAGCACAGTTCTTCTGACACACAAGGGGTCACCATGAGTTAGAGTCATATTGACAGCAACCAGTTAAGTGCAGTGTGGAGACCTGTCACTGAGAGGCTAGTCATAGCCTCTGCCAAATTCTAGGCAAGAGATGACATGGTTTGCACTGAGATGGAGTGATGGAGATGAAATAAGATGGATGGATTCAATAGGTGTTTAGGAAGTATATTGGATTGCATTCTTGGACTAAGGAAGAAGATGGTATTAAAATTGACTCTAAGGTTTTGGCTCAGAGGATAGGGTGGGAAGAGACCCTATTCACCAAGACAGGGAATAGTGGAGGAAGACCAGATTTGGTACGGAAGATCCGAGGTCAGCTCTGGATACATTGACTTTGGGATGCTTGGGAGACAGCCAAATAGCCATGTCTAGGGAGCTTGTCACCTGGATGTGGACTTTACAGACATCCAGGATAAAGGTTCAAAGTTGGGTGCTATAACACTGGCCACCAGAGCTGTAGAAATGGATGCAATGGACTAAGGGGAGAGTGTGGAATGAAGTCAAGACCTAGAATCAAGTCTTGTTGTTGCTAGTTGCCATTGAGCCAATTCCAACTTAAGGCGACCTCACATATGCGGGGCAGAACTGCTCTATAATACTTTCAAGACGGTGGCCTTTCAGAGGCAAGCCTGTCCTCTGAGGTACCTCTCAGTGGGTTTGACCCAACCTTTCAGCTGGTAACTGAGTGCTTCACCATTTGTGCCACCCAGGGACTCCAGAATCAAGTCTTAAGGAGCTCCAATATTTAAAGGATGCCTAGGGAAAGGTAAGCCAGCAAAGGAAATTAAGAACTGACCAAAGGAAATGGAGGGAAAGCAGAGGAGTTTAACATACAGGAATTCAAGCTAAGAAAGTGTTTCAAGAAGAAAGGTGTCGAAATTATGTAGAATGCTAATACAATTTTTTTTGAGAGCACTGAATTTAGCACAGTTTAGAAGTCAAAGCTTACTGTAGTAAGAGTGGATGCTACAAAAAAAATGAGGATGGAACCCAGATTGTGGTGAACAGAAGAGTGACTCAGAAAGAAAGAAAAGGGAGAAAGCGATTATACACAACCTCAGATAATGAGTTCACCTTCCTGTTACAACAAGCTGGCTTATCATGATGATGAGAGAAAATGAACGTGGAGGAGATTGGGAAAGATAAAACTTCTGTGAAAATGACCCCTTTGAATTCAGCTGGAGAAGCTGCAGTTCCTTTTCCAGTAATGTAGTCAAGCATTGTGAATCGTGAGTTATTTTACCTTCATAACAAGGAAAGCCATGAGCACAGGGAAAGGGTTAGGGTACGGTATCTTCAACACAGGTGACACACTGCAGTGACAAAAGAAAAGCATGAGATGGGGAAAGAAGAACAGGCAGTGATGAAACACAAAGTTCTCCTCCTCAACACCTGCTTTCTAAGAAGTTTCCACTTTGTAATAAAATTTGTATTTTCATAACTATTTATATTTAAAACATCATAAAAGCAAAGTGGCACAGATAAATTGGTTCTAGAGGAAAGTAGGGAGCTCTGGGTAGCATAGTGCCTAAGGCGCTTGACTGCTAACCAGAAGGCTGGCAGTTCAAACCCACCAGCCACTCCTCAGAAGGAAGATGGGACAATCTGCTTCTGTAGTGATACTGCCTTGGAAACCCAAGGAGGGGTCGTCACGAGTTGGAACCAATTTGATGGCAGTGAGTTTGATTTTTTTTTTTTTTTTTTTTTTTTGAGAGGAGAGTAAAGTTGAAGAGAAAGAAAGCAAAGCTAAATACCAAGATACCTGGACCCTAAGCTTCTGAGCCATAAAAATAATGAATGAATGAATGAGCAAACAAATACACCAGAAGGAGTACACATGTCCTAGGAAAATAATGGAGATTCTGTGAGCAGCCACGAGGCCACAAGTGGCAAATCAAGAGACACTTTCCCTGGATCAGGATGGAAACATGCTGTGACTGTTTCTCTAGTGCCTGTTTCAAAAGGACTTTGAGGAGCTTCTAAAGCTATGTGCCTACACAGGCCAGGCAGTGAGGGGATAGTGAAAAAGAACGAGTGTGGTTCAGAGGTCAAGTCCAGTGGACAGACTCAGGGGAAACAAGCAGAGAAGGAATGGAGCCTGAGCATCCTTCCTACAAAGAATGACACAGGCGTATCAGGCCTCCTGACTTCCTGGCGCTTTCCCAAGTAAAATGGCATGTCTGTTCCCTGAGTCTCTGAATATTTTACCGAGTGGCTCACTCTCCATGAAGGTGTTCACAGGCTTGAGCAGAGGGACCACTTAGGGGCACCGACTAAGTGCGAAGCACTGGCCTTTTTGTTTTACATACACTATCTCACTTAATCCTCACACAACTCCTGGGCTGTACTGCTATCCTCACTTGACTGGCAAGAAAACTGAAGTTGAGAAAATCTGCCTTAAGATCATACAGCACATCAATAAACCCATATCTGTAACACTCCAAATGTTTGTTTCCACCACAGAAGGTGCAGGCTGGGAAAAACTGATCTGTTTCCACTGAGAGGGCAAAAGAAACTTGTTGGGGGTAGAGGACAGGACACCATGGGAAGGGGAGAAAATTGAAGAATCTCCATTCTTCTCTGAGAAAGAGTAGAAATACAGAAGAAATCAGCCAGAAAAAAGACAAGATAGTCTGACTTGGGGAATGGAAAAAATGCCCGAGATAAATAATTCAGAAATTAGGCACAGAAAATCTGAGTCTGGAAATCACAGTGAGACAATCTAGGGGCACAATAAAGAGGCAGGAGTCCTTTAGTTGGGGTTTGAAATAAGACAGTGCTCAATTACTGACCTTCCTCTCTGTGGTCATGTGACTTGTGCTGGTATAAAAGCTTTCTGCCAGCCAGGTTCCTTGCAGTATTTTTCCTCTGTGAAATGGGTGACAGCAGTGGCTAAAGCTCCATTCTTCTTTCCCAGAAGCTTACAGACTTTCCTTCACGACTAAATCCAAGAAGCCATCTATCCGGAACAAAGACAAGGCAAGGCAGCTAGCTTAGTGCTTGTGCTCTGGGAAGTGATGCTGGGGAAGGTGTTGGGGGGCTGGAGGAAGCCTGTCAGAAACAGAAATGTAAGGGTCATGTCCAGAGATCAGAGCCAGTGTAGGAGCAGGGAAACATGGACAGGCATTCAAAACTAGAGATAGGATGGAGGGCAAGATTGTGTGTGGATAGCAAGAGTTGAAAACCAAGTGGAACTGAGTCACCCCTTTAAGAAGGAAAGTTCAGAGTCAAAACATCAGTCTCAAGTCCCAGTTACTGCCATGGGCTTTTCTGATATTTCTCTAAAGTGTTTTGGGGACAAGCCCCAAAGGATAGTGCTGGCTCACCCTTCCTCTACGGCTGCCCTTGCCTTTCTTAAACTTCACTTGCTTCCCTTTTTCAACAAAGTATCCGAGTCTGGTGTTGGACAGAGGTAGAAAAGGTGGAGGAGGGTCTGTGTTCTGCAAAAGCAGAAGAGACTGAGGTAGAGAGACGGGGCTCGGGCGCTGGGCACCTGATTCCTGGGCTGAGGCAGGATCCTGAAGATGACCAGCCCTGGGTTTCCAGCGTGCAGTCTCACAGCCCTGGTTAAACCAAGAGAGACATTCTGCAGGTCTCTTCTCAATGTGGTGTGGCTTGCCTCTTCTCTCCTGCAGGTCTCTGACTGACAAAGGGATTTAGTAAAGTTGGAAAACGGGTAGGAGTAACTTCCTGTGTCTGTGAGGATAGGAGGAGAAAGGGAAAGGAAACTGGAGGGGGAAGTCCCTCGGGAAGCCAGGGGTTGGTCTCCCCCAGAGACACATGATGGCAAACATAGTAACTACTGCTTAATATCCCACCCAAGGCAAAGTCAATAATTGCTCTGGCAGCTCTGGCAGGTGGTGTGAGTAACCTGAGGAGGCAGCAAGAAGCCCGGGCCTGGGAAAGGGACACTGCCGGGGAGGTTGTGCAGACCCTGAATGAGACTGTGAGTGGGGCCTCCTGATCTTGCCTTTTTTATCCTCCAGAATGGGCATGTCAGAATTGCGAAACTCCTTGATCCTCACGGCCTATATCATCATCTTCCTCACCGGTCTCCCTGCCAACCTCCTGGCCCTGAGAGCCTTCCTGGGGCGCGTCCGTCAGCCCCAGCCCGCTCCTGTCCACATCCTCCTGCTCAGCCTGACGTTGGCAGACCTGCTGCTGCTGCTGCTGCTGCCCTTCAAGATCATTGAAGCTGCTGACAGCCTCCAATGGCATCTGCCTGCGATACTTTGTGCCATTACAGCCTTCGGCTTCTACAGCAGCATCTACTGCAGCACGTGGCTCCTGGCCGGCATCAGCATCGAGCGCTACCTGGGAGTGGCTTTCCCCGTGCAGTATAAGCTCTCACGCCGGCCTGTGTACGGAGTGATTGCTGCTGTGGTCGCCTGGGTCATGTCCTTTGGTCACTGCACCATTGTGATCGTTGTTCAGTACTTGAACTCAACCCAGCAGGCCACAGATGGGAGCCCTTTTGTCTGCTATGAGAATTTCACCAAAGAGCAGAAGGAAGTGGTGCTTCCTGTGCGACTGGAGCTGTGTCTTGTCCTCTTCTTCATCCCCATGGTGGTGACCATCTTCTGCTACTGGCGCTTTGTGTGGATCATGCTCACCCAGCCCCACGTTGGGGCCAAGAAGCGGCGTCGAGCTGTGGGGTTGGCTGTCGTGACGCTTCTCAATTTCCTGGTGTGCTTTGGACCTTACAATGTCTCTCACCTGGTGGGGTTTCATACTGGAAAAAGCCCCGCGTGGCGGATGGAAGCTGTGGTATTCAGTTCACTCAATGCCACTCTGGACCCCCTGCTTTTCTATTTCTCTTCCTCCGTGGTACGCAGAGCCTTTGGAAAAGGGCTGCAGATGTTGCAGGATCAGTGCTCTTTTCTATTGGGATGCAAATGCAAAGAGGCTGCAGAGGTGACTGGTGGGGACAAGAGTGTGAACCAAACGGATGGAATGCCAAGTTCTGACTTCACCACAGACTAGTAATTCACCCCAGGCCTTCAGAAGCACTCCTGGTTTTTGGTTATGTATGGGTTGAGCAGGCTGGGAGAGGGTGAGCTTGAGGGTTCTTGTTCCAGATTCAGGAATCCTTAGACCTAATCCATGACTGGACTTTGTTGTAAGAAACATCCAGCTTTATACAAACCTCTCTCACCAACTTGGTATCCACTCCTGATTGAATTTTCCTCCCCAAAGGGGGGCATGGCTCAATGACAAAAGAAGAAACAGTCAAGCATAAAACACCATCAGACTAGGACTTTGACAGCAATGCAGTTAGTCCGAATTCAGTCCTTATGAGGCAGTTGGTAGCAGTAGCAGAAGCACAGGATCCTAAGACAATCTTAGAACCAACACCTAGATGCTGGTCTAAGTGTTAATGCTGGAAAGAAGCCAGTGGGAAGGAGCTGGAAGATAAATACTATATGAAGCCAAAGAGGATTCAGAAAGGTTTGCGCAAAGTGCACTAGAAGTGAAGGCCAGGGCTTTAGATCTCTAATGGACTGCACCTGCACTGTATCAATTGAACCTGTTGCTTTGTAAGTGTGCTCCAGTCGTTGCCTGTATGTATTCCATCTCCCCCATTAAACTGGGAGCGCCTGAGTTCTGGATCTTGTCTTCTTCCTCCATAGAAGCCCACCCTGGCAAGGACATGGCTTACAACCCATCAGTCAGAGGTTGACACTGACCAGCACAAGAAAAAACAGTGTGGCAGATTGAAAATAAGGATTATAAAACTCTGAAGCAAGTATCCATAATTCTTATAACATTTCCGCAAAAGGGGGAGGTCAAAAACAGGACAGAGAACCAAACATGGCAGCAAAAGGGGAAGTTGATGCATTTGAAACCACAGAAACATTTTCCGATGAAGACACAATGAGCATACAGTAAGTGAAGGTACTGATGATAGAGAGGCTGAACTTAGAGTATGTGGGAACAAGTCCTGCCTCAGTTATTGGTCTATCACAGGGGCTGAAATATGTTGCCCTCCTGCTCAGAAACCTGCAGAGTTTCCCTGTCATCTGTCAAACTAAGTCAAAATTCTCTCTGCCAGGAACTTGTATCATTCCATTACCTGCTTTGTGTCCTCTCTTCCTTCCCAATTCTGCCTGCCTAACTTATTTCTTCATAATAAAGACCCCTCTCTCTAGTCAAGTTTACTAACTCTCCAGTGCCTAACCTGTGCTTTGCAACCCAGGCTCCTCATCAGAACACATGGAGGTGTGAAATTTTTACAAATCCGACCTCAGAATCTCTGGAGGTGGGGCTCCAGCAGGTGAGCTTTATAAAGCTTACCAGGTGGTTACAAAGGGCAGCTGGGATCAGAAATCGCTGTCCTGATTCAGAGGTTCAGTCTGTCCAAAAAATTATTGTTCAGAGAAAACTTTCTTGCTTACGTTTTCCCATTTAAAGATTCCCCAACTTCTGATTACTTGCTCTCTTCCCTCTTACAAAACTCCACTCAACAATCACTTTCTTCAAAAAGACTTCCATTCTTATTCCTACCTAACGGAGAGCTCATTTTCTTGATTTTCTTTCCTCAAAAGAACACTGGACTGGTGCTATAAAAGACTTGACTTCAGTGTTGGCACTGCTTACTAGCTGGGTAGCCTTTAGCAAGTCACAATTTCTAGTCTTTATTTCTAAATCATAATAATGAGGATATTAAATAAATTTAAAGAAATATTAAAGAAATATCAAAGAAATATAAACCCACTGCTATTAAATTGATTCTGACTTATAGTGATGTCCATTGGGTTTCCAAGGCTATATGTAAATCTTTACTGAAGTAGATTTTTCTCATCTTCCTTCCGTGGAGCAGCTGGTAGATTAGAGCAACTGACCTAGTTAGTAGCCAAATGTCTTACCTAAAAGAAATATAATAAGTAAAAATTTTAAGTTATGGAAATAATGAGTTAGTCAGCCAACTCTATAGTATAAGGGAGGGAGCTCTGGTGGCATAGTAGCTAAGGCATTTGACTGCTAACCAGAAAGCTGGTGGCTCAAATCCACCAGCTACTCCTCAGAAGGAAGACTGGGCAATCTACTTCCATAGTGATACCACCTCAGAAATCCAAGGAGGGGTTGCTATGAGTCAGATCTGACTCAATGGCAATGAGTTTGGGTTTTGGTTTGGTTTGGTTTGGTTTATTGTTGTGGTGTAGTAAATTACCTGTTTCTAGCCTTAAGTCTTTGTAAACTCAGTGGTGGAATTTGCTGTGAGCAACTGAGGAGCTCCTGATTGTAAAAGTTATCCACCTGGGGTATTTCTATTGGGCATGGCACGATGCAATGTTCTGCGAAGTTCACTGTCTCTCAGGTGCTTAGAATTCTGATGTTATGATTGGCTAGTTTGGCCACTCTGCCAGGCTCAAAAGGAGGCCTCCTGGAGGCAGAAATCTCTCTCTGACTGCCGCCTGAGAAGGACACGCTGTTGAGAAGAAACACGCTCCTGAGACACACGCACTGCTGGAAAAGAGATGCAAGAGACACGCATTGCTGAGAGAGACACCAAGGGACACGCACTGCTGGGAGAAAGACTGTGAGAGACTGTTGGGTGAAAGACAGTGGGCTGAGAGAGACTGAGCATTTTTTCTGAACTTGAATTGTAACCTGGTGCTTCCCTAATAAACCCCATAACCTGTGAGTTCTGTGTAGCCACTGCAGTGAATTATCAAACCCAGCAGAGAGGTGGTGGGTGCTGCAGGAGGAACGGTTGGTGTCAGTGTTGGTGAAAGACTGGAGGGAGGCAGCATGTCTAGCCTCGCAGGAATAGGGCTTGGGCTACTGATGGTGATTCTGTCTTCCTCTTGTGCTGTTAGAGGAGGTCAGAAGATGTGGCCTCCTTGCCCAATTAGCAATAGTATAAAGGAGATCTGGTTTGACAGTAGTGACTGGGAAAAAAAAAAAAAAAAAAGCTGACTATATGCTTACTATGAGCCCATGATGTATTATAACTTCCAAAACAGCTAATTTGATTTTGGATACACTGAAATAAATGATGTCAAAACAAGTTGATGATAATCCAACTCTAATAAGAAGCATGTTCAGTACTAAGCAACACATTTTGAAGGGCTCTAACTCAGCTAATCAAAAGCTCTGAAAAATGAACCAAAATGCTTTGGAGACTTAAAACTGAATAATAATAATAATAATTATTATTAGAGCATATTAAATGCTAAGGTCAATTAGGGAGAGGGAGTTTGAATGCACATATTCCTGACTTCAAGTGCCTACTTTTTTCACTGCCACAGGAGAAGTAAGCAGGGAAATGTTGGGTGGGTGTCTGGGACAAGATAAATTCCATTTTATGGATGATGCATTCTATGTAGCCCCAAAGGGAAGAATAAGGATCATAATAGAAAGAGGCAGGAAGATACACTTAAAATAGTCAAAAAAAAAAAAACCTCACTGACATCAAGTCATAGTGAGTGACCCCCATTGAGTTTCCAAGATGGTAAATCTTTACAAAATAGATTGCCCTATCTTCCTTAGAGCTGTCTAAAATGGAACTGGCTGTCTCTACCATCAGGGTAGTCACTCCCCCATCTCCAGGAATGTTCAAGTAGAAAATTTAAAAAAACCATCGTGAGACTATACCCATGAATACATGTAGGTTTGATGGGATATTTCTACATATATAGCTCTGGTGGTGTAGTGCCTAAGGCATTTGACTGCTAACCAGAAGATTGGTGATTCAAACCCAGCAGCCACTCCTCAGAAAGAAGATTGGGCAATCTACTTCCATAGTGATACCGCCTCAGAAACTCAAGGAGGGGTCGCTATGAGTCGGGTCAGACTTGACGGCAGTGAGTTGAATTGAGTTGATTTATATGC